CATGATATGGAAGTTTTAAAAGTTGTTCATAAAATGTTTAATGTATCAACGATTGGGCTGACTGAATACAAAGTATACCAAAGCATATTATTTATTATTCGCATTTGAATAATTCTATGTTGATAATGGATTTCATTAATTTCGTGTCATGAATAATGCGTTTGATTTCAAGACTCAGAGTTAATGTCATGTTAAAACAATGACCCATTATGTGCATCCAGGTCATCAGCTGTTTTAAATTGTTTATGATGTTCATAACTTTTAGACATTTATGTAATACAGTTTTAAAGTTTTGTGAACGAAATGCTAACAATCGCATAATAATTTGACATATTTTATAGTTCATAAATAATACATTATTGATTTTCCACTTTTCCACTTTGAGGGATAATTATTAACATAGTCATGTGGAGTATCCGAATATTATATTTGTGAAAAATAAAAACAAAACAAAAAAAAAAAAATATAGCAAAAAACAATATGTCTACTCATTTATTTTATTACTTATTAATTATTACGCTACCTAATATGATATAATACCTTATAATATATGTTTAGTATTATATTAGTGTACACAATACAATAATAAAAATAACTTGAAATATAGTAGAATTAATTGTTGACGTATAATACTGAATAATACATTATACTTCCCATTTATTTCGGTTTATCATTATATCCAATAGGTTAGTTGTACAAATGATATTTGTCAATAAGCATTGTCAGCAAATTGTATTTTTATCCACATCTCGTGAACTTCGTCGATGCGTATAACTTAATGTATCATATATAGTTATACATAGACTTATTGTAGTCTCCTTCGTGGAGAAAGTCTAATTTAAAATTCCTGTATAGGCTGATAAACGGACATATAATCTAATTAAATTTTAAAGTTCGCTCCTAATGCACGCGTTGTCCCTGAAAAATCCTTTCATTACCAATTCATACAACGAATTACGGATAAAATAGCCCTATCGACAGAATTATGTGTTTGCAATACTATGAATACACTGACATATTTTATTAGCTACATTTACTTTATTTTTAATTTATACTACAACTTACCTTAATCTTATTGCTGAATTAGTTATTGATGTTTATTAACTATGTTTTACTTGTTATTTTAGTACTTTACTTTACTATATTATATTGGACTTTATGCCCGTTAAATAAATATAAAGGGTATTTTATAGGTCCTTGACTACGTCTTGTAGTGTGGTTTTTGTTTTCGGTGTAGTAACACATTTATCATTCCCTTTTCTCCAAATATGTACATAAAAAAATAAACTTTTATTGAAGATAAAATAAAAATGTCTTTCTTTTTTCTCAGTAGATAATATCAAAAAAAAAAAAAAAAAAAAAAAAATAGGAAATTGATTGAAAAGACTTTTATTTTTATTATTTTTTAAATATTATGAATATTTGAATCTAGCTATTGTGTTTCTTAAGAAAAAAAAAATGAATTTAATAATATAATTAAGATACCTTAATAATATTATGGTACAACTAAACATTTGCTATGTTATCACGTTATTTTAAATTTGCGAATTTATCGTCGTTAACTAGTTACCTATAAAATATAATATATTACACTATAAATAAATATTCTAATATTACAATCGTTTAGGTACCGATAAGCTCGTGAACCGATGTAACGAAATTGCCTATACTTTACGCCGTTCAATGGGTATACAATTTTAAAAAGTAATAGGTAGTATTAGATTATTCTTCTTTTTCTTCTTTGACTTTCTACAGGTCTATCAGGCCCATTGCCGCAACAACTATTTGCCTCTATTTAAAATATTTATGAAGAATAATAACAAAGTAATATTATTTAAATAGCTAATTTTAAACCATAAATGCTCGAATTTCACGTACGCTCATGCACAATTACTAAAGCGTTTATAATATAAATTTCTACCAAAGTAGATAATCTTTGTAAATTATATTTTCCTACCACTTTTTTTTTATTCCTAATTTTATTTGATTGGTTGCCATAATTATTATACATACATCATAGATATGTTCTATCTTTTTATTTCGCGGCCACTTGTAATTATAATTTATACTATTCGATTTAACTAACACGCGCCTTTTTACTATGCATAATTTAGATATCGGCACACGACGAGACGTTTGATAACGTGACTAGAAGTTTGCATAAAACAAATGGAAAACGACTAATAAGTATTATTTGGATGTTAATCAATATTTGTGTTTGTGTATTTTATTTAGGATTGATCAAGAAAGCAGACGTGTTTGTACTTGATTATGTCTAAGTACATAATACTGTAAATATAGGTAACTTCATTCACAATGAACCTCAAGTTCATTGTGAATGGGTGTAACCAGTTTTCATTGGATGACGCTGTCTGTCTATCATTCCTATCGAGCCCTGTAATTAAACCAAGCTCGTGACCATAATTCGGCCTTTTAACGTGAACGGATGAGTATAATTATTTATTATAATGTACATGATATACCAGCACGTTATTATACAAATCTAATATTTAGTAAGTCTATTGGATATAATGTGATATTAGAGGACATTTTCTTAGTGCATACTAGTCTTTATAATAAAATTTACATTAAATACATTACTTCCTATATTATTGTTAAAAAATAGTATATGAGCATAAATACTACTGTGTATAATAACGTATTTAGCTTTTATGCGAATATCGTAACAGTCAAAAATTTGGAGCGATATTTAGAAAATATAAAATTAAAAAAAAGTTGTGATGTACCTACAATACCTACAATTCTAATGCGATTAACGTTTATAGAACAGTTGTCATTTATAATATATAAATATATCATAAAAATATAAACTTTATGCACGTAAAAAACAAACCCAATAAAATTAAAACCATTATACATACATGTATATTTTTTATGTTATGTCGTGCAGTGTCGTTTGCGTTAGACGTTTGATGTGGAAATATTTCACCGCAAGATTGTAACAAAATATTATAATATGTGCTCTACACGTTTGTTGCGTACTACATAATATAATGACACGAAACGCTTCGAAAGGCACCGGTGTAGAACAACGGCAAAATCACCTGTACCTACGCGTAATAAGGATACGCGACATCGCGGACTTTTGGCGCCCGTTGGCGCAACGGCCGCCAGCGCATAATTTATAGGAAAACGCCACGGCGATATTTCACCCCGCGATATCCCTGCAGGGACTTTCGGCCCGGCGCTCAGTGGCGCACACTCCGCGTGTGTATAATGAGATCGGGCCATTCGATACGTGGGCGAGGTAACGAGTAACCAAAGCCGACGCGGACACCGCCTCCGCCGCCACTGACACCGGAAGGTGGTGGGTCTGCTCTCTGTGCTACGACGATACCCCCGGGAAAACGCCGACAGTCAGGTACCTACCCTAATTACTTTACGCCACTGCGTTCGGCCGTCGCCGTTGTGCACAGGGTCTTTTAGGTGTGCTGACTGCCGTGCGAGTTACGAGTCCGCCCAGGTCAGGCCCGGAGGAGTATACATTATTGGATTGTTGGGACGGGGCCAGCTGCTCGAGCGTTTGCTAGAACGTCTCGGACGTAAGCTGGAATATAAGCCGGTTGATAGTACTTCGACGAAAATCGTAAAATCGCATCGGATAAGCGGAAAAGTACCGCCTCCACGCCGTACCGCAATGTATCGTGGTCCGCACGCAGAGCAATTATTATATTATTGTCTCTGTTTTTCCGAGCCTTTATTATTGACATCTTGTCGGTAGGTATTGCGAATATTTTCAGACAATTTGTACACGTCAGCTGTTCGGATTGTCGTCGACGAATTATTATTGCAGCAATTAATATTGTGTAATCACGTCTCTATAACACTATCGATATGGTCACTAACAGTCCATAGGTGTTGTGTGAATAAAATATGAACACTGAGAATAATATCGGATATACAATTTTTGGACTTGTGGGTAGACATTGTGATGTCGAATTTCGGAAATTAAGAAATCGTATACATTTACATGGCTCACTCGAATTTTTTCATCTGCCCAATAGAATATCATTTTATTTTGTTTTTATGTTTCGATATTATTAGTTTTGAATATTCACGATTGAATCGAATTGGTTACATGGTTGTCGATTTATTTCGTATATAACCGGACAAAGAGTTCGTTCAATCGACCATCATTACACGCTATAAAAATATTATAGTCTGTACGCCATTTTATTATGTATACAGTCCGACTAATAATTATAATATGTCGATCCGCGTAATAAAAGGTTTTATTTCATATTTTATTGCATTCGTTCCTGTGTTCAAAAATTATTTAATCACAACAATTACCCTCTATTTATTTATTTCGAGGTCGCGTAAAATCCCCTAAACTCGATTGTGTGACTACAAACACGGGTTGTTTCAACACTGTACAGTGTTTACGCATAAAACGGTTTCACGCGCCTACGACGACGCCCTCACTACAATGTTAGAGCGGTAGAACGGTGTCGCGAGCTCCAAAACGTTCAAAATAATTTATTTCGACAAATACCTAAGCTACTTATTTATTCGTTTTTTTTTTTTCTAATGGGTATGTAATTTATTGTTCGAGCGCACCCGTTTACGTTCTCACGCAACGAACCTAGTGAAAAACTATCGTGACTTTTTCAGATGGTCATCCACGCGTTTTAAAGACAACTCAATACAACAGTGTATATTTCCAGTTCGACATATCCCGCAAACAGTTTCAGCAGCATGCTCACACACTCAGACACTGTAGTTACAACACGTCGCGGTGACAAAATGAATCCTGTTATTTTTACATCTGCGTTCTTTTAATTTTACCAGGAAGGATAACCTAGGATATTATATTTTATATTTGTCGATGGTGATAGGGAGACAGTGGTTAAATCTCCCGCCTTTCACAATCAGTCAACACTCTTCCGATGATAAACTTTATCGGGTCAACGGTTGGGTTTATTTTTTTTGTTTTAATCAATCGCCTGGTTGTTTGCGATGTGACGTTTGGCACTTACCGTCAGGTGTATTGCCGGTGGCAGATGTGGTTTGTCGTCCGTGCAGTCTTGGAACGACGAGCTCCGACTCTGGCGCGACACTTGCTGGATCAGCCGACGTCGGCGAACCATGACGAATGCCACTGACGCGCCGGCCAGTATGGTGGCCGCCGATAGCGCGCCAACTAGTAAACTTATCAGACGGCGGCCGCCACTGCCGCCACTGCCAGCCATACCGTCGTCTCGGTTTTTCGTGTGTTGAGGCAAACCTGGACGAAAAAATAATAACGTAAATAGGAAATAATAAAAAAAAATTGCGTTTGAATATTACAAAAACTAAGTACGCCGAACGTACAGAATATTATATGACGTTATAACGTAACTTTATATTTATGTGTAGTCTCGATGATAAATAAGCGATTGTAACATACAATGCATTATCGAGTTGTATATATAACATTTTCCGTGCAGAGACGATAAGCTGCGAGTACAAATATAAATGTATAATAATATATATGCCGCGCGTATGTACATAGTATTGCGTATAGGATATTTTTTATAAATAATGCATAACCACTGTAGTAGTCCCAGTTGGTACCTATACCTACACAGAATGAAAATATATTATTATTAGAGTAAAAACAAAATCTATTCCATTTAAATATCTAAATATTTAGATACAATCGATATCTCATACAGGTACTTTACTCGGAACGTAGTTATATCGCAATAATAAAAACTTTTCGAACTTCTCGACGTATTATAAATACTACATAGGATCTATGCCTCGTTTAATACGTTCTAAACTGAATTACCTATACGTTCCCGGAATAAGGGTTGGGTTACTATTGCGTTTTACGATATAATATACAATAAAATTTACCGTCGAGTTAATCGCTGCGGCTGTATATGTCTCGACAGTATTTGATATTAATAATTTAAAATTTAAATACTGTTTCAAGATGTGCATTATGAAAAGTTTTGAAGATGTTCCTTATGGAGTGAATGAGATTTGAAGCGGCTATTTGAATATTTATTCAAGCAATTACGTCCAAAACCAGTGGAATTTGATTGTTAATAGTAATCAGTAAGTACAGATAACTGTAATTCACTGACAATGTGCACATATTTAATAATAATTGTGGAACTTTAATTTTTGAATATTAAATTAATATTTTGTCAAGAATAAATTCTATATTATATCCCAATTTTTATTTTTAATAATGACTAAATATTAGTAGGTATCGATTCAAAGTTAATAATCAATGATATGAAATTATATAAATATATTCTATTTTAATAATTATAATTAATGATTATATAATAAATGCTTTTTTTTTGGCAAAATTTAATTTAACCGATACGTATTATAGTTACTGGTCGTGTTAATAGAATGGAGAACGAAATACATTCCCACGATTTCCTATTACAAAATGGGAGTTCTTATTTTTTAGTTGAAAATTATATTCACACAAATAGCGCAGTAGGTTGATCCAATACATTATTAAATTTAGCTCATCCGTCTAATTCGATTTTTATGAATACGTTGAAAAAATAAAATAACACCCTTATAAACTTTTTTAAAGTAGAATCATTTTTTTCTGAAATAGTATTATCTAAAATAAAAAAAATTAATAATATAAAGATTCCGTGTTTCAATTAAAGTATTTAACACCAACGTTTCACCCTAATACAATAATTTAAGTTTATTACATATTTTAAAACTATCTACTGTTCGTTCGTTAGACCTATTTCAGAGTAAGGTTCCGTAATATTTGAGATCTGCATACCTCTTGGACTATAATATGAATGATCGTGCCCATTGAATATTTTTATGTGGTGCTTCTTTCATTCTAACCTACCATGCCCACATTATGATCACACACCTGCAGTAAGCCAAGTATTGGGTTTATCTAGTCTTGTGGATCGCCGATTTGTAATAAACCGAAAATTCTTTTCAAAACTGTTGTCTAATTCTATTAATTTCTTAATAAGCTTCTTGCTGAAATTAGTTTTAGATTCGCTATGCAATAACCTATAAACAATGCTTCTTTTTATTTTCTATATATCTTCCGTAAACTAACTGTTGAATTATCTTTTTAACCGGTTATTAAAAATCTCCATTAGCCATCCACTAATTTTTATATTAATTTCTTTCTTGTTTTGGGTATTTTACTGTGAAATGTTAAATAAATAAGTATTCAAAATTATTTACGGGGATATAGTTGGTAATTTTCAGTTTCAAGTTTCGATTTTGATTTAAAATAAGCAGTCATAATATTATTAATATTATTTAATTACTTTGATGGAGTTAAATATTTATTTTATAATTCGACTATAACATTCATACATATAATTTTGAGTCAAATTCAATAATTCTTTGCAAAAATTCAATCAAATTTTTTTCTGACTGATATATTTGCATTAGTAACCAAATATTAACAAATATAAAATTATTAGATTTGATTTAACATTATGGATACCCATATTGATTGCGCTTAGTAACTGATGCATAATATAATTATGTTACCCGACAAATTAAACTTTACAACAGATATAGGTTTTCCCTAGTAACTGATGAATATTATAATTATATGTTACCATAGCAAAAAAAAAAAAAATAATAATACGATTTTAAATATTTACTTAAGAATTTGATTATTACGCTTTTAATGAAGTATTATGTTTATCATATTTAACTGTTTTGACGATGTTCAATATTTATTTGAAAATATTATTATTATAATTTTAATGAAGTATTATATTTATCGTCACGCGCCAAAATGACGCCAAAGTTGTATTTATGCCGTAAATATTATACAACCAGTGCGATATTTTACAAACTGATTCGACAAATTATTTTTTATGCAGAATTTTAATTAATCGAGTTCTACTAATTTATATAATTTTATGTTTAAACATAATTCAACAGAATACATTTACTAAAAGTTTTAAAAATAACATTTACCTGAATTTATAATAACTAAGCAATCGATGTAAAAATGAAAATAAAACTTTTTTCATAAGAGAAACGTGCGAGTAATATATCACGTTGTAACTTGGAAACAGATTGAAAATTCTATTTAGCTATGATTGAAAATTTGTACTATTTGTGTGTGCATGCGTAATAATATGTGAGACGCATGTATATATTAATATATTATACGAGAATATTCTGAAAACGGCATGGTGACGTTTGACTATAAACAGTATAATATGTGAGAGGAAACAATATTATATATGTATGTGTGTATGTTTGGCAATAGAAGAGAGTATAGAGAAGTGAAATATATTATAATATAAAAAAAGAAATAGAGATAAACGTTTAAAATAAAAGTCGTTTTAAACCGTAAATACAGCTATAACGTTCCGAAATGTCAACCAGGTGAACTGTCCTATAAAAGTGCAAAAGGGGGTATACTGGGCACATGGGGTTGGTTTAGCATCTTTAACCACCTTAAGGGATAAGGTGCTGGCACATGAATCTGCTAAGTTATTGCAGATCCATTTGAATAAATGATTCAGATGTTCTGTAATAAAAAGAAAATCAGCGCTTTTGGTTTTCATGTGAATATTGTGCACTAACATTGAACGCCATTTTTCGATTACAATGGAGACGTAAGTTTCAAACGCTGGTTATTATTCAGTTTGTTTATTATTATTATTTTCGCATCGTCTGAGTTTATAGAAAAAAAGATCAAGCGGTTTACAAAAAATAAATAATATAACGGCATGATAAAACTTGAAATTTAAGTTGTGCATATTATAATGTAGGTATACATATTAACCGTATACTGTAGTTCATACAAAACATAAATTAAATGTAAACCGTCTGTATTTTTGTAACTTATTTACAACGACTTATTAATTATTTTAGAACTTATGAAAATATATTTTAACCTTAACAAGTATGAAGGGTGTTAATCGTATTAATTTTCCGTCAGTATTGTAGACGGGAGCAAATAAAAATATTATGTTATATAATGTAGAATACAAAAATAATACAATGCGTCGCATTTACTTGGTAAATATAGCAAAGTAAATTTAATGCGATATACGTAGGCAAAAATAAAATATACTCGAGTTTCTATGAATAAAATGTATGTGCAATGCACACAGGTAGAACATAATATATCTTCATTTGCCTTGAATTGGTGCCGTGTAAGTCTTCATTAACATTTTTATAGCCAGCTTGTTTAGGACGAAACCGGAAGATGGAAACATAGCGAATACTATCTTTCGTTTAGTTGCATAATGTTTAGATGCGGCCTGGTACACGTTATAAATATTTTATATGTTTTTCTTGTGCATAAAATATTAGAGAATTCCTCTCCTTGAATAATATTCCCGTATATTAAGTTTTTTCTTTCTCATTTTACATGGATAATGTTTTCGTTCAAATCAACAAAATAATGTGTATACCTAGACGACTTCAATGATCTGATTAATCCTTTGTTACTTCCAAGAACATTTGGTTTTATCATAGCAGTTCAATAAAATATTGCCGTAAATGGTTTTACATTTATAGCGTACTTTCAATTCGAGTGTAGTACTAGTAACAATTAAATATAAATGTATAATAGTATTATGAATGTATATCATGATTGATTTCCGAGTGGTAAATATTATTTCATGAATAGTAGTTTATAAAATTTAGAAAATTACTTTTTGCTTTTTTCAATCTATATTCGTTTTTTTTTCCAGGATTAACTGATAAAATGTCATGTAGTTAGGATAAAGGGCACAATACGAAGTTCGAAAAAATGCGTATATTTAGATGGTTTATATTATTGTTTATTAAACACGGATTTCATTGAAATTTTCAAAATAGCTTTCTCGCGTATTAGTACTATTGTGAATTGCATATCGTACGATTAGTTTGTTTTGAATTTATCTGTGTTAAATATCGGTCGGCAGTGGCTGAAAATAACTAATTAATCGTTTCAGTATTTTTTACATATACCTATGCGACATAATATGTGTATGTAAAAATTGTATTTAAATCGTCGAAAATAATTTAAATTCGCTTAAATCCGGTAAATCGAAATTAACTTTAGTGAACCGATTATAATATTATAAAGTACGTTTACTTAAACTAAACACTAGCACGTTATACAAAATATCATAAAACGCACAGTGGCGGTGGCCGAGATGTTATTCAACATAAAGATAGTTCGATAGTTTTCATCCGTACCTCTTATTCCACGTACCTATATAATATATATATATATTCACAATACACATATTATTACGCACTTATACACACATA